TGCCAGCATTGTTTAAGTATATGTATGTATAGCCTATACATCCTTAAACGCAGGTTCAACGCATGTAACTTTATTCTTAAAACATTTGACGTATCTTTAAAAACAACGAACATATTCGAGGTGCGAACGTTAGGTGACTCACCCTGTATAACGGCTCTGAATACTGGCCATTGGTTCGTCGTATGCACGCGCGTATGCAATCACGAGATAAAAAGAACATGCACTCTCTTGGACAAAGTTTAAATTGAACTATTTCGCTTTAATTATTTAATCGCACGTGAAACTGGCAAGCGGCGAATCGGTAATTAAGTAGGAATCAGTTTCGAAACTGTCGAGAATTACAGGGACACGCGTGTCGATCTTCTGTAAGTTTCTCGAACTTCCGCCTGGAACTTTGATACGAGCAGGGAGTCTCGTTCCCACGCATCGTCCAAGCCGTAGTAAACGCGTTGGATCGGAAATTAACATTGAAATAATCGTATTTGCTGAGAAATACTTTGATTTACTTAACAAAGTCTCTTATTGCTTCAAATCATTGGATCGTACATTTAAAGAACTTCTAGTATAATAAATAAAATGTATAAAATGCCAGGAGGCAAATGCACGTACAATATTAAAAGAAATTCTCGTTTAAATTCACATCAAAGGAATTGTATTTCGCACGAGCATTTGCAGTCTGTCAGTCAAATTTCCCAGCCAGTCGCAACTAAAGGTTTCAGAAAAGGATTAAAATGGATTTACATGCAGAGTCTCTCTCTCTGAAACATAATTTATTTAATATCTAATGAAAGCTTCGATGCACATTTTTCATTCGTATTTATACACTCGGGAACTTAACGTTTTGAAATATTGCTCTTTGAACTTTCTTCCTGCGATTCTCTAGCTGAGATGGATTTTAAAATTAAAAGTCTTTTATCGATACTGCGTCTTGCACATCAGAAGTTCGGTTACGGGTCGAGTAAAGTCAAGAAACAGTTTGATGAGAGTACCGTCAAACGAAGTCTTCAATAAAGTTCAAACGAGACAAAAAGATTAGATAGATACAAGGTGTGTAAATTAATTAATGAGATTGACTTTTTTAATTTTCATTCGAATAGAATTGCATTTAAATATTGCCTCCCTGAAAATAAATTTTTGTGGAAGCCAGACAGTGCTGGAAACGGCTCTTCTGATCCTCATAGCAGTACTGAAACTCGAATACTGGGATGGGGGTAAACCGACCAGTGCATAACCAGCAACCAGTGAATGACCAGCAGAGAAATAACTCTAAATTAAAAACTTAATAATAATTATATGATAATAAATCCTTTATATTTACGTTATTTATGTAATATTTTGTATTTACAAATGTTTAAAATCTAAAAATAATTACATTTTTTTTAAATATGTACCATAGACCCTAGGGCACTTAATAGAAAACGTGTGTTAGGGATAGGTGGCCCTAACTAGGAGTCCGGAGGAGAAACGGTTGTTTTAATAAATGTACGCTAGGTTTTCCAAAAAAAAGAACCCAATTTATTTAGAAATAAACCCAGCACCCGTACAATTTAAATT